CTCTGCCTGACATTTGGAATGAAGAAGCTTCCTGGATGGAAGAGAAACGTCTGCAAACTGGGAAACAAAGTCCAGAGGATTGATTTTAACTTTTAGGAATGACTCTGAGAATCTTCAGCAGCTTAACGAAGGTCTAAGCTTGGACTGAACATCCTACAGTAGTTCTGACCGCAGGTTTAGGGTCGTTCTTCTAAAGGATGATGAGGTTAGGAGTTACCATGGAGACGATGTCATCGAAACACAGCCGAAGAGTTTAACTCCAGCCTCACTTGATGAAAACGCTTCAGGTTTTCTGTGGCGTGGTCCATTTTAAAGTGCAGATTTGGCTGTAAAGGTTCCTCTGCAGCAGCAGCTTTCTTCTCACCACTTCCTGCCTGATGTGAGGAAAGTTTCACCAACAGTTCTTCTGCTAACAGCTTCTCCAGCCTGAGCTGCGAATCTCTGCAGCTCCTGACTTACAAAATCCAAATTCACGTTCTCCAGCGGACGTTTCTTCTTCTCATCTTTGAGATGCTCTTTGTTCACTAATGACGTCTGGCAATCATCTAAATCAGATTTATCCATCTAAGTTAGATTTATGTTTATCTTGATTCACTAACCACGACAGCGTTTCACTTTATTGGACTTTATTTAACACACTGAAAAAAGCTGAACACGCAGCTGTTCATTCAAACTAATGACTGTAAACTGTATAAAATGATTGATCTGATTGTGTAACGCAGTCTTTTTGAGACATGAAGTTTGATTTAACCTGAACTAAAAACACGTAAAAAGTTTTTGATTTCTCTCATTATGTTTATATTTATTAATGGCCTGCAGGTATTTGTTTTTGTTTGAGTCAGATGTGAATTGCGTTTTGCACGCTGCAGTCGGAGCACGTGATCGAGTCCCAGACCGTGAGAGAGAGGGGCTGCCATTTTGTCGTCTCTACATCATTAGTGGATTTCACCCATAAATAAACTCAAGTAGCAAATCAGCTGCATGTAATCAACGTTACAGCTGCTAGTTAACTGGTTAACATCACCTAGCTGTCGTCTCACAGGGTTTACGCTTTAACTGATAACTTTATGACAATGAATCGCTAACGTTAGCTAGCCAACAGCCCTGGCTCGTTCAGCGCGGCGTCATCCAGAGATTAACAATCGTTGCTTTAAGGTTCAGTTGGAGTTAATCTCTGGAAACCTGCCGTCACTGACAGCAGGAGCCTCCATGTTATACGCAGCAGCAGGGCTGCTGGGGTTAGCGTGTTAGCAACCGATGCTGCTGGGGTTAGCGTGTTAGCGACCGATGCTGCTGGGGTTGGCGTGTTAGCGACCGATGCTGCTGGGGTTAGCGTGTTAGCGACCGATGCTGCTGGGGTTAGCGTGTTAGCGACCGATGCTGCTGGGGTTAGCGTGTTAGCGACCGATGCTGCTGGGGTTGGCGTGTTAGCTACCGATGCTGCTGGGGTTGGCGTGTTAGCAACTGATGCTGCTGGGGTTAGCGTGTTAGCGACCAATGCTGCTGGGGTTAGCGTGTTAGCGACCGATGCTGCTGGGGTTAGCGTGTTAGCAACCGATGATGCTGGGGTTAGCATGTTAGCAACCAATGCTGCTGGGGTTAGCATGTTAGCAACCGATGCTGCTGGGGTTAGCGTGTTAGCGACCTATGCTAACTGCTACCGCTGGCCAATTTGGTTATATTTAAACTGCTTAACTGGTGTCAATACAAACATTAATTCATCTTAATTTAGTTAAAATTACATTTGGTTGGTTTATTTTCAACATATTAGTTTAGTTCATCAACTGAAATGTTCAAAGTTGGTTTAAGGTTTATTAGCTTTATTATTGTTTACATCAACATAAAATAATAAAAAAAAAACCCAACATAAAATAATCAGGTCATAACAAGTGATTAAATTTAGATTATGTGAAGTCAAATATTTTAGATGTAGCAACAGAAATCATTCAAACCACAAACCCGATCGTTTCTAAACTCTGCTCTGTTTCTGCTTCCATTTCACACCAACATGCTGCTCTGTGTTTATCTTTCACATAAAATACCAATAAAATAGATTTCAATGCGTGCACCAAAGGTTTACTGTAGAATGGAAACTGTGAAATGCATGAATAGATGCTGGACAGCGACATGCAGGGAGGATGAACGGTTCCATGGTCGGTTCAGACGACATGCAGGCCCAGAAAACGCACACAAAATACAGTTTCCCTCCATGCGTTTTGGTCAACGATGCAAAGGAGGGGAGAGCAAAGGTGTGAATAAGGTGAAGGACAGTGGTGCACAGTGCCCTACCTGTATGAGTCTGTCTGCCAGAGCAGCGCTCTCCTACAGCAAAGAGCAACGAGAGGAAGAAGAGGTGAAAAAGTGATGAAAGAAAACAGCAGGAGAGCAGAAAGGATAAACCACAGAAACGGAAACTAAGAGAGAAGTGAAGAAATGTTTGAGAGAAAAGCATCACGTTCGTTCTAAGAAATGTGCTTTTCGCTGGAAAATGAGATTAAAAACCTGAAGTTTTAATACAAACAATCCCACACAGGGATGATGAAGAGCAGCAGCTCTAATCTGAGGATTTCCTGTTTCTAAATCCAGTTTAAAGCTGCCAGGCGGGTCAGACGAGGCCGCGCTGCTGATTTCAATCAACACAGCGAACACAGGAAGCTGCTCTCTAACCTTCTCCAGCGTTTCGATCCTCTGCTTCAGCAGCCGGTTCTCTGTTCGTAATCTCTGAAAGGAGAAAACAATCCAGCGCTATCAAACAGGTCAGATTACACGTACGTATTTATATATAACCATCTATGAAATAAACAGACCTTAATCTCAATCTGCTCCTCCATTTCTTTGTTCTTTATTGTGGTGTATTCCTTCTCAAGTCTGAAAAAAAGTTCAAATTAAACACATTTTCCTTTTTATTTTCAAAAATAAGAAACTGATTAAGCATTTAACCAAACAAACAGATGATAGCATTTTTAATAGCGGTTATGATGTATTGCTCCTCCTCCATGGCAGCAGAGCTTTGCTCCCATGGAGGAGAAGTTTCCCAGCGGTGGAATCTTACTTCTTCATCCTCTTGGGGTTGTATCGGACCTGGTAGGCCCGGAGGATCAGCTTGTCTGGGCAGCTGTCAAACTGATGGGGGATCACCTTCTGGAAATGCTGAGATTAAAAAATGGAGACGCTCGTTAACATCTTTCAATTCACTCAGAAAGACATTTTCTAATCAATGAAGGTTTAACGATGGATTTCTGCTCATTTTAAAGCTGCAGGATGGAGGAAAACATCTATAAGCTCTATGAACAGAACGTCTTCGCTTTGGCTGGCCGCCTAGAGGAAGGAGCCTTAATCCCATCGGTGTTCAACTAAAGGAGAATTTCACAGAAATGATTCTAACATTTGGTTAGAAATCAAACTCCTTTCTGGCTTTAAGAACATGTTAGAAATAAAGCAAAGAATAAGAACAATAAAAAGCTAAAAGATAGAAAAATAAATCCAAACTGGCTGGAATATTCCAGAGATTATTCATCAGATTAAAATACAGCTGCTTAGATGGAGACTTTTACTGAGTTATTGTAAAAATCTCATCTGTTAATCCGATGATCTCAACTTTAGCTCAGAAACTAAATAAACTTTATCGTCATCTTAAACCACATTTCAGTGCTTTTCAACAGAGACTGAGCAGCAGTGAAATGAACGTTTCCATTTATAAAGTGCAGCAGAGATCAGAATGCAAACGGTGAAGGAGGAAAGGAAAACCAGTTTAAAGTCATGGTGCTAAAGGTTTGGATATGGAAGGTTATGCTGGCGGAGATTCTCCGTCATCAAGGTCAGAGTCGATCCAGAAAAGTTTAAAATTAATCCTCTGGTTTTGTTTCTAAGTGTGAAGATGTTTCTCTTCCATCCAGGAAGCTTTTAGATTCAAACTGTCAGAACGAGGACTGACTTCCAGGTTTTATAGTACAGGACAGTACAGTAGTGGTTGGTCCTTGGCTGCTCCCCTATGATTCCTTTTAAAGATCAATCTTTGTACTAAAATATTCTTTAAGTCATGATTTGTGGACATTAAGATCTAAAGATAAGCGCCATCTGCTGGTCAGACCCTGTAATTCAATGAAAGGTTGGAGTCAGAGTAAAAAATATGCACCTCCAGGGGAAGGCCAGCGGCTGGAAGTTTTTTATTTAGTATTTTTTTAAATTTTACATTAAAACAAACAAAAAAAGAATATGAAGAGAGAAGGGCGATAAAAATACAGCAAAGGTATAACAGAGTCGTAGTTTAGTGAATGTGGGGGGGGTCAGACAAGTCTAAAAAAGGGTTTATCTGTGGTTCCAGTCATATTGAGGGTCAGTCCTTTCCCATCTGTGTCATCAAACCATTTCCTCCACTGTTCTTTCAGGTACCTGATCCTTAGCTGGGAGGTCATTTCCTCCATCATGGTGTGGAGGGTCAATTTTTAAACCATTTCCTGGTAATGGCTTTTTTGGCTGCCACCATCAAGATTTTGAGAAGATCGATGTCTTTCCGGTGAATCCTTCACTCTCCACCCAGCCCAGGTACATCACTGGTGGGTTCTTGATCCTTCACTCTCCACCCAGACTAAATACATCACTGGAGGGTTCTTGGGTATCTTGTATCCTATTATTTCTTCTATAACCTGAACAACTTGATCCCAGTAGGTTTGTATTTTTGTACATTCCAGAGTGACTGGCATTCATTCGTCCACATTGCCTCCAACATTGTTGTTGAGTTTGGAATCATTTATTTTGTAATTGAGGTGTTATAAAGTAGCGTATTCAATTTTAAATCCAAATTCCCTCCAGCAGTGGCTGGAAGTTTTTAGTGAATTATGCTGCGATTCCATGGAGCAGGCGGCCATTAGGCGGGCGTTAGACTGGGAGGGGCGATTAGCATGGATGCTACTGTATATATAGTA